CGTCAAACTGAACTAATTGCTTAGATGTCCGCCCGTCCAGTCTGGTGTAGTTTATATCGTATCTCCCGTACCGACGATGTTCACCGTGTGCCCCATGGCAGGGTGACTTGCACGAGAAATAGTTTAGGCAACGGTATAGAGAAGGACCCCACTTAGTTGTCAGTAGACTGTGGATCGTGTCATAGGGGGTTTTATCTTGGCATACATTTGCAGGCCGTCGCAGAAATTACGCTGCCAACAACGATTACTTCACACGACCTCACATCTTAACGCAAAATCCGTTATTGTTGTGAAATTTACTTTTTGTTTACTTTTTAGTTACTACTCTCATTTCCTTTGTCATACAATAGCGTAGGATAAGGCTTTCGGCATAAATTCAGACAATTACTGTGTTTTCTTTCATTTTGTTAGCTTACTGTCTAGCGTGCTGCCTCACCCATAAAACTCTCTTTGCCAAAAATCCCGTATGGCACGATCCACAGTCTACTGACAGTTAAGTGGGGCCCTTCTCTATACCGTTGCCTTAGTTTATGCAAATAGTAGACTCGCACTGAATCTACCGTGCCGTCTGTTCCTCCTCACTCTCCTGATGCCAGTGTCAAGCGGACCGGGGGTGCGGGATAGACCGAAGGTGGCTGGCGCTACGTGGGCCAGTGCCTAGACGTGCTGCTCTTCGGCTCATTGTGTGGCACGTCCGTCGTCGGTTCCTGCGTCGGTCCAGCGCATGTACCCCTTCGCCCGTTTTAAGGGCACTGCTGTTGTGCTCTGAAGTATGAACGATCAGAAATACCACCTTCGGCACGATTTCTGAAGTGTAATGAGACTAAAATTAAAGAAACGAGATTAAATGTGTCAGTACTCCGTTTTATGCTAATATTTTCCCCACGATATACAGTGCGTGACCAATCTCATGAAATGTTGGCTGAAATTCTGAAATGCGTTTTCGATTAGGAAGGATTACTTGGTCGCGGTTGTGGTACTGATTATCTTAAGGCATACTCTTATAACATTTCGGACTCGGCAGGATGTCGGCTTTAAAATGCACTCTTTTTCAATCCCCTGTAAAAAGCGTGCTCGGTAAAAAATGACTACTTATGGAGCATGCATTTTTCCCACTGATTTTCGATGGTCTTGCAAATTCAAATATATTTTATAGAAACCGCAAACAAAAATGCGTTTTCTTTTAGTCAATCAATAGAGAATCACGTCCTCAAGAAGAAGACACGATCGCCGGGACAAGAGCTTTATTAGCCTGACGTCTCGGATTCCTGCTCGAATCCATCATCAGAGGCATAAGCAGATAAGGGTCTGCTTATGTCTCTGATGATGGATTCGAGCAGGAATCCGAGACGTCAGGCTAATAAAGCTCTTGTCCCGGCGATCGTGTCTTCTTCTTCAAGATTGCTTCCTGGGACTCATCTTTTCGCTTCTATTGGCAATCACGCCTTCTTTATATTTTATACTTAAGGAAGGAGTATAATTGGGTTTTAAAAAAGTTTTCTAATGACCGAAAAATTTGGAGCCTGATCATTCGTTGCATTAGCGCTTAGTGATTTCACTCTACAAGGTGCATGCGTTCCGCGTAAAGAAAATCCCATATTTTTCTATGTCATTAAAGAGATATCATACAGGGTCCATAAAATTTTGCAATGGATGCGGACCATGTTGTACATTTCACGAGGAGCAGTGGTAAACGGCCGGGCACGATGCTATGGGAATGGGCATTTTACGGTCTTAAAAAGTCTCATAATTAGAAACTTTTTTAAAACCTAATTATACTCCGTCCTTAAGTATAAAATATAAAGAAGACGTGATTCTCTATTGATTGACTAAAAGAAAACATATTTTTGTTTGCGGTTTCTATAAAATATATTTGAATTTGCAAGACCATCGAAAATCACTGGGGAAAATGCATGCTACATAAGTAGTCATTTTTACCGAGTACGCTTTCTACAGGAGATTGAAAAAGAGTGCATTTTAAAGCCGACATCCTGCCGAGTCCGAAATGTTATAAGAGTATGCCTTAAGATAATCAGTATCACAACCGCGACCAAGTAATCCTTCCTAATCGAAAACGCATTTCAGAATTTCGGCCATCATTTCATGAGATTGGTCACTCACTGTATGTTCACTCATGTAGATTCCAAAGCCCCTTGACAAAAAATTCGGAATATTGGTTGCCTTGCATGAAAAGAGGAATTTCACTGTAGTTTTGGGGACCGAAGCTTTACTACGCGGCAACAGGGGGTCAATGAGGCCATGCGGGTTTTAAAAATAGAAGAATTTAAGCACCAATAATTGACATTTTTGCGAATTAGAGTGTTTGCCAGAAAACGTACGCTTGACGCGCTGGAATGGACTCCTTGATGAGTCGAAACTCCCGCGGCCGCGAACGCCGTCGACCGACGTTCGCCCTGTGTCCCACGGGATGAGCGCGGCACCGATGACTTGCGCGGGAGTTAGTTTATTGTGAGGCAAGCTTACACAGCATCCAGCGCACACTCTAACTCTCTTCCCTCATCAACCAGACTCCGATGGCTGAACGATACCAAGAAGACCGGAGGCGGTCTCGGACGCAATGGCTGACAAGGCTAGACAGTCCGTTTGCACGCATCACACACGACATGGTTCCAGAAAATGTACCAGATTTTCACAGAAGGAGGACGGCCCGAACCGGAAGTTTCTGTGAGTGCCACAGAGGTCACGTTACGAAGGGGTCATTGCGCCTGACATCCAGCCCTCAGGGCAGTCAAACCCATATATATAATGGTAGGGGGGCGCTCACCGATCGTTCTTGCGGAACTCACTCGTTTCGTTGTGCCTTACGGGTTCTCTCTCGAGCCCAATCAACAGCTGCACAGCGACGCATGATATATAGGCAGTACGTTATTACCGACAAACCAACGGGCCCGGGGCAACTGGCAACGGGCTCGTAGCCCAGTGTTTAGAGGCGTGGACTTCTAACAAACAGGTCGCGAGTTCGAGCCTCCTGTGTTCCACACATCGGGGTTGGGTATGACTGGCTGACAACGGCTAATAAGCCAGAAATGGCCATTCCAGTCTCCCTTGTCTCTGTCAGTAGTAACATTCTGCCTATATCATGCACTGCTGTGCGGCTGCTGGTTGGGCTCTAGAAAGAGCCCGTAAGGCGCAACGGAACGATTGAGTTGTAAAACGACTTCTCTTCAGTGTTTGGAATGTGAGCTAAAATAAGACCCTTATTGGGACTTCCGGTGTAGTGGGGTTTGGGAATATTTTTTTAACTGTGGGCATGACCGGAGGACGGTCAGTAATATCCTTATATGAAACTGAAAAATTCTCTAACTATTTCACGTGGCAGTTTTTCCAAAGAAAATCTGACACAATCCGTGAGCGCATTAGTTAAGTTAGTGCTAACTCACTCAAGTCGCATTTACAATGTTGCGATATGTAACACCGTCCCAAACGCCTCAGTCGAATCTGACTGGAAAATGTCGTACGGCAATCTGTTGTATGGGCTGAATTATAAGTTGCTTTATCCTCTAAAGATTCAACAAATATTCTGTCATTTTGAGCAAGGTTTCTCTGGGACATTATTTTGGAAATTTCATGATAATGCAACGTAAACAAGTAATTGGAGTCAGGAAACAGATGCGATTAAAACATTAATTAATTTTTTATTGGCACAGTGACTTATGGACCACATTTTGCCAGGGGAAAAAACAGACTTTAAAAGTGATGCATATCCTACTTTGCCCGGAGCTTTTAATGACATTCTTCAACCTGCCGGGAAAACCAACAGTAGCTGTCTAGCCTTTACCAGTCACCGCGTTCAGAGCTGGGCAGATATTGATGGAATTGAATTGATCATGCAGACTGCCACAGTGACTGCCCTATCTCAGAAGCTGTTAGCCGAAATCCTGAAATTCGTTTTTGACTAGGAAGAATTACGTAAGTGGCAGTGTAACATTGATTAGCATGCAGTATAATCCTAAGATATTCCAGTCACATCTAGGTGCCGTCTTTTGAATGCACTTCTTTTCGGTCGCCTAAAAAACCGCACGGGACAGAAAATGGGCACTTTTTTCCATTAACTGTTGAGGCTCTTGCAAATTCAAATATATTTTATAGAAACCATGGATAAAATATCCTTTTTGGTACTCCTTTGATAGTGACTTGCATCTAGTTCAAATTTTATACTCGAAAAGACCGCCCCTTTTGGTTTTAGAAAAGTTGTTAGTGTGGGGTTTCTCAAGATCGTGAACTGTCCATTCAAATAGTATCGTATCTGTCCGTTTCCAGATGCCCCTTATGAAGTATGCAACATAGTCCACATCCATCACAAAATTTTACGAATTCTGTATGGCATCTTCTTAATGGCAAAAGGGAAAACGTAATTGTTCTTACATGAAAAGTGCAAAGCTTGTATTTCCAAAACCCAAACGAAAATGCTACGTTAAATCGGGCCCAAAACCACTCGGGGATTGAAAAGCATTTTAAAACCCAAATATATCATTTTTGGAGATAAAATGGGAAGAAGATGTGTTTTCTCATCAAATGAACGCACGGGGGCACATTTGGACCATAGTTTTTATGAAATATGTTTTGAGTTCAGATTACTCCGAAACTTAGTGTAGCCATTTTTACCGAGTGTGATTTTGCAGCCGGCCGAAAAGAAGTGAATTCAAATGCCGACATCCTAGTACGACTGGAATATCTCGAAATTATGCCGCATGGCTCCGGTGTCCACATTTTTTCAGGAATACTCCACGGTTAATGGTCGCTACCCCTCGTGTGGGGGTTGGCGTTAGCTATAGACCTGGGACTTAAATACCTTTATTCTGTATTGAACTCAGAGTGAATTTCGGGTGTGCTACGTTCATGTGAAACCAATCCATCTACTTGTGACTATAATTCAAATGTCGGTACGACCTGCAAGCAAGGCGAATTATGGCCAGGCGCTAATTTGAATTTATTGATTTTTGTCCGTGCGCTCTGTTTCTTCTCATAAGTGACCGAGAATGGCTGTAAATGAGAGTATTTGTCAACGCGACTGTGAGCTCTACACCGCGGAGGCAAAATCGCCAAACCTATCGACAGCGAGGACAGTCAACATTGCAGAGGAAGAAATGAGGACTGCTCAAATGCTTTACCCCATACGCGCCGAGCGCCAAACGTCGAATCAGCTGATTGAACTGCAGACAGCCATTGTGCGCCAGACAAGGAGGCTTGTTGAGGCGGGTCGTCAGCATGGCACCGAAGACATTGAACTTCTGCTGAATATTGAGGCCTTGGAGAGGGAAGCGGGACGTCTACGGCAACAAGTGGACAAAATAGACGCGATGGTTGAGGCAAAAAAACTGGAGTCCAAGAAAATGCGTGCCAAAATTAGACATCTTCAGTCGAAACAGAGTCATCAGCCCGTAGAATAAAAATTTTGTATCTGGTCTTGAAGAGCTTCCGTTTTACCACTGTCCATCTCCCCTGGGCAAAGAGTGGCACCGTATGTCATGAAGGACTCCATGAAACGTCCACATTAGCATTAACATACATTATAAACTGTAGTTATAGCTCTAGTTCTTTGATAGGAGCAAGCGTGTCTCCAGGAAAGGGTTCCCAATAGACTTTAGATGCAGATCCCTGACCGTATTTCCTGATAAGCCATGAAGATAAAGGTCAAATAAGTAGTGATTTTAGTAGCAGCAAATCTCAATTTCCCGCGTTTACTGGAAGGAGTCTGTGTCGAATATTACATTCTACTAAACACTTCGTTTTTTGACGGAGAGCAAGGCCTATTGGTCTAGGGAAACAAGTGAGATTTGAACACTCCCACATGGGTTTAAGGCAGTTTTAGGGGTATCGGCGCGTCGGGTCTTTCCATAGTACTTTCAGGACATGATTTTCCTCAAAGATATGCTTTTTACCAAGGGGACATTGCCCCCTAAAACGGGCCGCATTGGCCAACCAGGGGGGGGGGGGCTAGGTCGGAATCCGACAGGAGTTATTGGTGATGTGCTCACATAATAAATGTCGGCATGCCCAGGCGCAGGTCCCCGCCGCACCGGCTGACAACCGAGCCGCCCCCTTCTCTTTGTTGTTATATAAAATCCTGGTCAGTTTACGTTGTGAACCCCGGGATGTGGCAGTACATCTAGGCTCGGCTTTACATCGTGGTTAAACCCCTGCGCCTTATCTGAAACCGTCTCTGATGATGGGTTAGTGGGAGAATCAGAAACGCCGGTCTAATAAACTCCTTGTTCCAGTGGTCGCTTCTTCTTCGTCTTCCCCTGCGCCTTATGCGGCCTCCGTGACGCCGTCATGACAGCAGGCGCAGGCGGGGGGGAAGGAGGAGGAGGAGGAGGAGGAGGAGGAGGAGGAGGAGGAGGAGGAGGAGAGCGTGCAGTAAATGTCGCGCAAATCTGCTTTCACTTTAAACAAATTCACGAACGAGTCACCGTCTGTGCTCCCACCCTGCTGTGGGACAGACGACAGACACCTTTGGTGGCGACGACCTAACTGTCGCGATAAGCAGAGTTTACATTCTTCTCTCTTCGCATCTAAACAAAGGGCTAAGTGCAAACTGCTAGTCATCCCCTTTAAATACCTTACAAAGTCATCTTTCCTGTAACAAGTATTACACGGTTTGATTACTTTCATGAAAACCTGCCCTTGGTGCATAACAGTTTACTGAAAAGTATTTTTTTCTCTGGATCATATCAGCAAGAATATCTGAATTCTCACAGCCCGTAGAAAACAAATTCAGCAAGCGCAATGACTGAATAGTGTTAATTGCAGATTAAGTATGCCATCGTCAATTTGGTATTGCATAACACTGCCAACTACATCTTCGTCCTTAAGCGGGTAAGATGTGGTAATGTAGTCCCATCTGACGGACACAATACTGTTGGAGTTGGGGTTAGGGGTTAGGGTTATAGGTGAGGGTCAGGGGTTACAGTTAGGGTTTGGAGTTACTATTCCTCAACCACTCAAAGTACAACCTCGCCTCTGCGTTCCCTGGCCCCACCTGTAAAAAACCCTATTACCACCGGTCGCGTATTACAGGTGGCTGGGGTTTGTTTATCTCAGGTGCCGCTGCATAACTACATCTGACACTTAAGCGATAAATGGACGTGCCAATGACTTAGAACTCAATTTTTGTTTTCGCAGATACACGTGCATACTAAGGGATGCGGAAACCAAAATATTGTCTAACTACGTCCATAGTTGTGTGAACAACTACCTTTAAAGTACAGTGAAACGAGACAAACTGATCGAGGTGTTCCACTGACAGACGATGACAGGCCTTGTTGGTTTTATTCTCAAATTTTCGCATATGACGAGACTTTTGACTGACCAACTAACTCTCGTTTGTAGTCAGTGTCGAGGATAGGCACACAGTCGATTATCTTGGTACGCTCCTTTATCGAAACGTCGATCCACCCGAACAAACTGACCATTCTGCCCAGACATTTGCTTGCCTACAAAACGACCCTCTCCGTTTTAGCCGCCCAAGACCTTTTTAGCAAGGAACCCAGATTTCACGCATGAGTTGCGATCGTCACTTGTATGTCTGATCTTCTGATGAGCTGGGAGCAAGTCTGTCAGGGATCCTCCTTAAAGTGACCTGTGGCACTCTTACGCATGTGAGGGGTGTGGGTGTTACTTAGTCGGTAATACCTTTCAATCACTGACTGACTGGCTACCCAGACCTTGAAGGGTGATGGCCCAGGCAAATGCAGGGCTGTGTTCGTCACCCTTTTGGGTCCCGAGGTCTGTGAGCGTCTGCTATGCCATGGTCAGCCAACCATGGCGCTCGCAGCCTGGTATGCGCTGGCAGTTCTCCGGTGCCTGGTTCTCTGGCGGTAGATGCGCTTGCGCTTCCGCGGGATATACAGGCCGCATGCATGGCTGCCCAGTCATCCACGTTTTCCTGTTGTTGTTGTTGGCCAAAAACCTGGTCGAACATCTGCTGTTGACCAGGAGGCGTGGAGTGGATCGCGCCATCCACTTGCGTCCTCCGCGCCTCCGGTAATTTTGGGCTCTGTCTTGACACAGGACTCAGGTTGGGGGGGGGGAGAGGAGAGTGTGCGGTAGATGCAGAGCAAGTCTGCTCTCACTATAAACTAACTCACGCGCAGGTCACCGTGCCTGCTTCATCCTGCTGTGGAGCTCACAGTGGACCTTGTCGGATGCGACGGTCGAACTTGCATGACTGATGTTATTGGCTCTCATCGACGTCTGAGGTATGTACGCGCCACTGTTGCTGTTTGTAACTTCCATAGATATTTTGGCAGATTTTAAATAATTCGTATTGGCCCAACTGTAAAAAAACTCGGCGCCTCGGTGGGATTCGAGCCCACGACAGTCGGGGGAAGGTTTTAGTACAGCCAACGCTCTAACCACTTGAGCTACGAGGCCCAGTTGGGTCAATATGAATTATTCATATTGCCAAAACATCTATGAATTAAGTGTGCCTGGTGGATTCTAGGTGAATTACTTAGGAAATCCTGCTGTGGCAGTCAACTTACTGTATCAGATTTGGTGGAGTCCAGACGTTGCAGTAGGTTGGGCGGGTAACTTGGCCCAAATGTGATTAAACTCGCGTCGTCCGGTGGGGCCTCGTAGCTCAAGTGGTTAGAGCGTTGGCTGTACTAAAGCCTTCCCCTTACTGTCGTGGGTTCGAATCCCATCGAGGCGCCGAGTTTTTCACAGTTGGGCCAATATGAGTTTGTATCTTTGCCACCACAATGGAACCATGCCCGTCAACATTGCTGACGTTGGCAGGTAGGACTGTCTGGTTGGGAAATACGATTTCCTTCGCCCACCGTCTAAAAATGTTCGGCAAAAAGGGCTATATTCATTGTGGATAGAGGATCAGTTAGTAAATTACGCGAGAATCAAGAGATTTGTATAAAAATGAACATCTATTATGGGGACATTTCATACCTCAATTTTGTATTTCCGTCTCTTTACACGTAAGATAGCGTGACATGAATGGTTAAACAGAATGCTTATATACCGATATGTAGGAAACCACGGCGCATGGAACAGGATGACTTTGCAGGAATTAGTTCAGAAGGAAGGAGATGGGAAACATCATCCAGAATTCTACTAGCAAATTGCTTGACCGTTTTGAAACGTTGGGCAGTATAATATCGGCTGAAAAATATAAGAGACATCGGCAGCGGAAGAAAGCATTCAGCAAGCTAGTTTTTAAGCAAAGCAGGAAAGTTAACAGGAGGATCACAAAGAATGAAAGGAAGAATATAGGCATATATGAATCTCCTGAGTTGGAATTGAGATGTGTAGTAGGAACGTAAATGAAGAGTGTAATAAAGAAAACTACGAATTCAAATGAAAGGAGTCTTAACACGAAGGTAATATGAAAGATTTGATGTGAGGGTAACACCAAGGTACCGGGAAGAGGATACCTCGTTGAGAAGAATGTCCAAGGATTCTGGACTGCGAGAGGGTCGCAGTCGAAAAACACTCTGGACTGATTTCTGATTATCCAGTAGGAGACAATTTTCCAACGATAAGGCTGAGACATGCATAAGGACTAAAGTTCGGACACTGGAATAGAAACTCCCCTAAAATTTAGCGTGAGGCCACCTGTAGTACCGGAGGGTTCATATCTCCGTGTCCGACCCCGTCTCTGATACACCAACTTGTGAACGTTGCACGTTTCCCCTTTGTCTCTCCAGATCGATGAACACCCTTCTTCTTTTACACATGACTGCTGGTCACTGTCCATTGGGCAATAAATGTGGCTGGCCGGCGACCCAGAGGAATCAGGCGAGATAATGACTGGCTGCACTGACTGCAGTCCTGATTTTAATACCTAGTCTGTTTCCATTCTCTTTTTTTGAAAGAACGCAACTGTAAACACTTCGAGCTTTATCTTACCAATAACAGTAGAGTGCTCTGCCAGAAGATACTAGTTCTGCAAACTGGGAGCTTTGAAGTCTTTAGGGCGGACGAGGCAAAAGGGATGGGCAGGTCAGGAGGTCTTGATGCTATAGTTGTGGGTCAGTGAAATAGTCGTTTCGGGTTTGTTAGCCGTCCCCAGCTGCTGGTAGCTCAAGTGTGGCGACCGGACCTAGGGTTCAGGGAGTCCCTGAGCAGTGTTAAGTACGATGCCCTATTCACTTGAGCCTTCTTTTTGCAACCAAGTCAAGTCGCTCAACTCCATCGTTATGTAAAATAGATAAATGACTAAATTTCATGGGAATTATCCAAATCTCACTTTGTCGGGTCCATGAGTCCATAGGGTAGAAAGGACAAATATGTATGGAGCGGGGGAAATTCTCTAATGTCAGTTGCCTACTTGAAAACTCATTCGTCAAGTAGCGCTCGTGTACATAACACGAGCACCCGTATGAGAAAACAGATTCTTTTCAAAATAAAGAAGCGGCCTCTTATTCGGACAAGA